TTTTTTTTTTTTGTTTTTTTTTTTTTGCGGTACGCAGGCTTCTCACTGCTGTGGCCTCTCCCGTTGCGGAGCACAGGCTCCAGAAGCGCAGGCTTAGCGGCCATGGCTCACGGGTCCAGCCACTCCGCGGCATGTGGGATCCTCCCAGACCGGGGCACAAACCCATGTCCCCTGCATTGGCAGGCGGACTCTCAACCACTGCGCCACCAAGGAAGCCCCTTAGTCTGGTTTTGGTGTCAGGGTGATGGTGGCCTCATAGAATGAGTTTGGGAGTGTTCCTTGCTCTGCAATTTTTTGGAAGAGTTTGAGAAGGATGGGTGTTAGCTCTTCTCTAAATGTTTGATAGAATTCACCTGTGAAGCCATCTGGTCCTGGACTTTTGTTTGTTGGAAGATTTTTAATCACAGTTTCAATTTCATTACTTGTGATTTGTCTGTTCATATTTTCTAGTTCTTCCTGGTTCAGTCTTGGATGCTATACTTTTCTAAGAATTTGTCCAATTCTTCCAGGTTGTCGATTTTATTGGCATAGAGTTGGTTGTAGTAGTCTCTTAGGATGTTTTGTATTTCTGTGGTGTCTGTTGTAACTTCTTTTTCATTTCTAATTTTATTGATTTGAGTCCTCTCCCTCTTTTTCTTGATGAGTCTGGTTAATGGTTTATCAATTTTGTTTATCTTCTCTAAGAACCAGCTTTTAGTTTTATTGATCTTTGCTATTGTTTTGTTTCTATTTATTTCTGCTCTGATTTTATGATTTCTTTCCTTCTACTAACTTTGGGTTTTGTTTGTTCTTCTTTTTCTAGTTCCTTTAGGTGTAAGGTTAGATTGTTTATTTGAGATTTTTCTTGTTTATTGAGGTAGGCTTGTATTGCTATAAACTTCCTTCTTAAAACTGCTTTTGCTGCATCCCGTAAGTTTTGGATTGTCGTGTTTTCACTGTCATTTGTTTCTAGGGTTTTTTAAAATGATTTTTAAAAAATTAATTAATTTTATTTTTGGCTGCACTGGGTCTTTGTTGCTGCACCCGGGCTTTTCTCTAGTTGAGGTGAGCGGGGGCTACTATTTGCTGTGGTACACTGGCTTCTCATTGCGGTGGCTTCTCTTGTTGCAGAGCACAGGCTCTAGAGTGCAGGCTCAGTACTTGTGACACACGGACTTGGTTGTTCCATGACATGTGGGATCTTCCCAGACTAGGGCTTGAACCCGTTTCCCCTGCATTGGCAGGCGGATTCTTAACCACTGTGCCACCAGGGAAGCTCTCTAGGTATTTTTTGATTTCCTCTTTTGATTTCTTCAGTGATCTCTTGGTTATTTAGTAACGTATTGTTTAGCCTCCACGTGTTTGTGTTTTTTACGTTTTTTTCCCTGTAATTGATTTCTAATCTCATAGCATTGTGGTCAGAAAATATGCTTGATACAATTTCAATTTTCTTAAATTTACTGAGGCTTGATTTGTGAACCAAGATGTGATCTATTCAGGAGAATGTTCCATGCGCACTTGAGGAGAAAGTGTAATCTGCTCTTTTTGGGTGGAATGTCCTATAAATATCAATTAAATCTATCTGGTCTATTGTGTCAGTTAAAGCTTGTGTTTCCTTATTAATTTTCTGTTTGGATGGTCTGTCCATTGGTGTAGGTGAGGTGTTAAAGTTCCCCACTATTACTGTGTTACTGTCAATTTCCTCTTTTATAGCTGTTAGCAGTTGCCTTATGTATTGAGGTGCTCCTATGGTGCACCATAAATATTTACAATATTATATATAATTGTTATATCTTCTTCTTGGATTGATCCCTTGATCATTATGTAGTGTCCTTCCTTGTAACGTTGTCTCGTAACATTCTTTATTTTAAAGTCTATTTTATCTGATATGAGTATTGCTATTCCAGCTTTCTTTTGATTTCCATTTGCATGGAGTATCTTTTTCCATCCCCTCACTTTCAGTCTATATGTGTCCCTAGGTCTGAAGTGGATCTCTTGTAGACAGCATATATATGGGTCTTGTTTTTGTATCCATTCAGCAAGCCTGTGTCTTTTGGTTGGAGCATTTTATCCATTCATGTTAAGGTAATTATCGATATGATGTTCCTATGACCATTTTCTCAACTGTTATGAGTTTGTTTTTGTTGGTCGTTTTCTTCTCTTGTGCTTCCCACTTAGAGAAGTTCTTTTTGCATTTGTTGTAGACCTGGTTTGGTGGTGCTGAATTCTCTTACCTTTTGCTTGTCTGTTAAGCTTTTGATTTCTCCATCGAATCTGAATGAGATCTGTGCTGGGTAGAATAATCTTGGTTGTCAGTTCTTCCCTTTCATCACTTTAAGTATATCATGCCACTCCATTCTGGCTTATAGAGTTTCTGCTGAGAAATCAGCTGTTAACCTTATGGGAGTTCCCTTGTATGTTATTTGTTGTTTTTCCCTTGCTGCTTTCAATAATTTTTCTTTGTCTTTAATTTTTGCCAATTTGATTACTATGTATCTCGGCGTGTTTCTCCTTGGGTTTATCCTGTATGAGACTCTCTGCACTTACTGGACTTGGGTGGCTATTTCCTTTCCCATGTTAGGGAAGTTTTCGACTATAATCTCTTCAAATATTTTCTTGGGTCCTTTCTCTCTCTCTTCTCCTTCTGGGACCCCTATAATGCAAATGTTGTTGCATTTAATGTTGTCCCAGAGGTCTCTTAGGCTGTCTTCATTTCTTTTCATTCTTTTTTCTTTATTCTGTTCTGCAGCAGTGAATTCCACCATTCTGTCTTCCAAGTCACTTATCTGTTCTTCTGCCTCAGTTATTCTGCTATTGATTCCTTTTAGTGTATTTTTCATTTCAGTTATTGTGTTGTTCATCTCTGTTTGTTTGTTCTTTAATTCTTCTAGATCTTTGTTAAACATTTCTTGCATCTTCTCGATCTTTGCCTCCATTCTTTTTCCGAGGTCCTGGATCATCTTCAATATCATTATTCTGAATTCTTTTTCTGGAAGGTTGCCTATCTCCACTTCATTTACTTGTTTTTCTGGGGTTTTATCTTGTTCCTTCATCTGGTACATAGCCCTCTGCCTTTTCGTCTTGCCTATATTATTCATCTTGCCTATATTACTGTGAATGTGGCTTTTGTTCCATAGTTCTTCTTGCTTCTGCTGTCTGCCCTCTCACTCATTGTAGTTTTGATTTGCATTTCTCTAACAATTAGCAATATTGAGCATCTTTTCATGTGCCTGCTGGTCATCTGTATGTCTTCTTTGGAGAAATGTCTATTTAGGTCTTCTGTCCATTTTTTGATTGGGTTGTTTACTTTTTTGATATTGAGTTGTATAAGCTGTTTGTATATTTTGGAAATTAAGCCCTTGTTGGTCGTGTTGTTTATAAATATTTTCTCCCAGTCCACAGTTGTCTTTTCATTTTGTTTATGGTTTCCTTTGCTGTGCAAAAGCTTGTAAGCTTGAGTAGGTCTCATTTGTTTGTTTTGCTTCTATTTCTTTTGCCTTGGGAGACTGATCTAAGAAAATATTGCTAAAATTTATGTCAGAGAATGTTTCTCCTATGTTCTCTTCTAGGAGTTTTATGGTATCATGTCATATAATTAAGTCTTTAAGCCATTTTGAGTTTATTTTTGTGTATTGTGTGAGGGAGTGTTCTAACTTCATTGATTTACATAATACATCTTCCAGTATGTTGATTGTATAATGTAGTTATTATACAGATATATAATTTATTTAATCAACTTTAATCAATATCCTATTGGTGGATGTTTAGGTCATTTTAAATTTTTCTCTATACCAGCAATGTTGTAGTAAACATCCTTTATATGTATAGATGTGTTTTTGAAAATTTGTGAGTTTTTGTGAAGGATAATTTCTGAGAAATAGAATTGCTAGATTAAAAGGTATGATTATTTGAAAGTCTCATGGGCATAACCCAATCTTCCCTCTTAAAGTATCCATACCAGTGAATTTTCCCACTTCAGAATAGAGAGTGCCTGTTTCTTCATACCCTTGACAGCCCTGTCTTTCTCGGCATCTTTTAGCTGTGATGATAATGTCCAGTCTGCCAAATCTAAAGACCAAAGGAAGCCTGGTATTTCCCAAATGACCCAGACTGTAGATATCTTCAAGAATTTACTTCGTGTTTTTTTTTACAAATTATTTTACCAAAGATTGAAATGAGAGGAATATGTGGCTTTTACTTACTATCTGTTGGGTTCCTCATTGGATAAGATTGGGTATAATTGTTTACACAGTGTATTAATTGTGGACTAATAGAGGCACAATAATTTTCCACTGCTTTGATCTGAGAAGGACCAGGAGAAGAGTCTGTTCGAAAAATGGCTTGACAGTATTCTCGGCAGTTTGTGTGATGGCCTGCATAACTGCAACAAACTGAGCCCACTAGGGGAAAAAAAAAGATTACATTGAAATGAAATCAGCTATTTGCTAACATTAAATCATCATAATAATGATGGAACAATATGTGTCTTTTTGAATTTCAGAAATAAAACCATGCCATAGAAGACACGTAGTTAAAGTCAGCACTACTATAAGCATGGCCATGGGGACATTCAGGCGCTCACTGGTCTGAGAAAGTCATTATTTGTCAACTTATAGTCTATAGTGCGGTGGTTCTCAGCAGGAGCAGTACCAGCCCCTGGGAGAATTTGGATGCATGTGGAAGTGTTTCTGGTTTTCATGATGACTTAAGGATGACTGCTGGCATTTAGCACATGGGGGTCAGGGCTGTGCAACGTACAGGAAAGTCTCATATAATCGAAACTGTCTCCCAAAATGCTAATAGCACCCATGTTGAGAACCACTGGAACAGCTTCCTTCCACGTTGGATCTGTGGAGATTCATAAACAAAGCAAACCAAAGCAAAACAAATCAAACATATCAAAATAAAACAAAACCCCAAATACCTCACATTTATAAAATAGGACCAGTAAAAACCAAGAGATATCAGGACCACTTCATAAATTTGCAAATTATATAACTGTCCATCTTGAAACAAAATCCCTAAAGTTCTATACTGTTTGAAAATCTCCAAGACTATGCCTAAATTGAAAGTGCTCACCTCAAAACTGATATGACTTGCTTCAACACTGAAAAGTAAAACCCACATTTGGAATAAACAATTCTGGACGTATGTATTTTTAAAAATCAAGGTGGACTATTTAAGGTATCTGGGAAGAGCAGGATGAGTGGCTGGGGGTGCAGATGTGGGATTTATAATGAAGAACAAGAGGTCCTCATAGGAGAGGCTAAGGGGTCTGTGGGAGGCTGAAGGGAGCCAAAAGGGTAGAGGTATGGCTGGAAAAGGTTAAGAAAATGGCAGGTAGGAAACCTCTGATAATAATTAGTGATGGTTATAGAGGAACCAGAATCCGGTTTCTGGTGGATTCCACAGACCAAGGAATGAGCAGGGAACTCAGGCGGCTTCCAGAAATAATGATAATGATAAAATCATATACAAATGAACTAAAGTAGGACTACACTGATAGCAAGACAAGCCTCTTTCCTGGACAAGGAAACTGTTTCATACCTATTGTGCCAGCTAAGTTTCTGATTTGAAATTACTAACAAACTTACATTGTTCATTGCTGAATTGTTCATTTTATTCACAAAGAACAATCATTAATGGCTACATTTATCATTGTCAACCTCAATGAAGCTAAAACTGGGGGCAGGGGTGAGGGATGCTGAGGACAGAGGAGACAAGTGAGAATAGGACAAAGATGCCTGTCTTCTGATGCCCCAATTAGGCTGGCTTCCTCAGTGTGGGAGGATATAGGATTATGTGCTAAAGACTATCTGGAAAATCTTGAACTAAACCCCAGTTAGAAAGAGTAGAAGATAAAGTACAGACAGCTAATGTTTCTTATACTTTAATACACCCCACTGCCAAGCTCACCTAACAACTCTTTACTCCTCACACGTGTTTCCCCATCTCCAACTGCTCTCGCTGTTCCCTTCAGCTGGAATTCCCTTCCTCCAATCTCTACTGCTCACATCATGTCCATCCTTCAAGGCCCAGTTCAGCTACCAACTCCATGAAGTCACCTCTAAGCGCCCCTGCAAGATGTGATCCCTCCTTCCTCTGAACTCCCGTGGCACCTTATCAGTAACTCTATCCCATACCCACCATGTCCCAGAGTTCTTTGTGTACAGGTTGTGTCCCCCACAGGTGTGCATCTGCCCTGCACAGAGCAAGTAGTCAGTGAATATCTGCTGAATGAACTGAGAGGCAGCCCTCAGCTAGTGCTGCAATTATATTACGTTATACTACGTGGGAGTGTTCAACTTCTGTTTATATCACGTGGGAGTGCTCAACTTCCTGTTTATCCAAGTGGGGCATGATCTTCCTCTAAAACACCCAGCACTGATATCTGCTTTGTAAATCTGTAATTAGGACATGGGAATTGTTAGAATTCATGAATGGCCCAAACACTCCAGAGGAAAGAGCCTATCAGAATCCTGCTGTGCACATTCCTTCAGACGGTTTAGTAACAACCTAAGTTATAATGTCAGAGTTTTGGCAATATTTATAACAGCTAAATCATATTCTGTAAACCATGTTTTTCTCTTTGGATTGCTTGTATAACCATCAACAATATACTTACTTTCATTTCTGCTAATGCAACTGAAAAGAGCATTCTGTAAATTAAAGGAAAAAAAACAGAAATTAACAACCACATAGAATTTCTAATTTTATTCCACTTTTAGAGTTATATGGAAATCAGGATATCAAACTATTTAATCCTTCTCTAAATCCAAGATTAAAACCAAAGAAACTATGATATAGCATTCTGGTGAAAAGAGAAACCATCTTCTAATACATTTTGGGGATCAAGATTATCACCCAAGCCATAAGCTGACCACATTATAGCAAACCAAGTTTATGTAAAGCTGTACCAATGTGTGTATGTGGGGAAAGTACAATGTAGTAATCTCAATTGTTTCTTGTAGAACATAAAAAAGCTTTCAGATAATAATATAATAAAGGTTATTTAGGAAATACATATTTCATATAACCACTGCATTTTAGAGTTGAAAGGACCTTGGAGATCACCTCTAATTGTTCTCAAACCTGGCCATGCACTAGAACACCTGGGCTTCCTAGGCCTTAACCCTAGACTACAGAATTGGAATTTGGGAATGAAGCACAGAAATCTAAATTTAAAACAAGGCCTCAAAGATGATTCTTATGCAGCCATCCTGGGGCCAGAGTTGGGGAATCTCTCTACCATATTACAGATAAAGAAACCATTTCCTTAGCAGGGGAGAGACTGCCCCAGCTCACAGAGCAAGTCAAAAGTAGAATCTGAGACTAGAATTAATGTTTTTAGATCTCTTAGATCACTGTTCAGAAAATATCACACTGTGTTAAAGTCATTGTAAGGAAAATAAACAAAACAAGACAAACAAAACTTCCTTGTACAATGCTATTTGGATAATCAGGGCTTGTAGACTATGATTAATATCACACTTGGAAGAGAATAAATTCTTAAAAGAATATGGGCATAAATAAAAGGTAGATGGAAAACAAGGACACCCTTATTAATGAATAGAGATGATTTTGGCTTTTATTTGCAACTAACTTCCAAGCTGGCTACGTGATCTAGCCTTATTAAAGGATCAGCTTTACTGACACTTAAAACCTAGCTTCAAGAATCCATCTATGTAGTTGTGTAAAGCTGTACTGCATTTTCTCTACTAAATAATATTCTACTGTAGGAATAAACCACACTTGATTTATCCAAAGCAAAACAAAATACCCAGGACCCATAGATAAGGGCTAATGAATTCACCCAGTATGAATTCTTTCTGTTAGAGATCTCATCAAATAATATAAAATAGTGAAAAGTAAATATTCTTGGTATTCTTTAATAGTGGTCTCTTTTATATTTCTCTTCATCCATGTTTCTTTGTTTTAGTTTGACTTTTCAGCTACCCATTATAGGTAGCCCTCTATTTTGGTTCAATGGTTTCAGGAACACTTTCAATAAAATGATCTAAATCAATATTAAAAAGTCATCTGCTACCATGACTTCCTTGGTGGTCCAATGGTTAAGACTCCAAGCTCCCAATGCAGGGGGTCCGGCCTCGATCACTGGTCAGGGAACTAGATCCCGCACGACGCAACTAAAAGAGCCCTCATGCTGCAAGCAACTGAAGATCCCACACGTGGCAACTAAGACCTGGTGCAGCCAAAAAAAAAAAAAGTCATCTGCTACCAACTTTCCAGCCCCTTTTAACTGGGTGAATAAAATTCTCATTGCCCTTCTCTTTTCTTTTTTTTGTTTGCTTTGCTTTTTTTGGCTGAGCTGAGAGGCTTGTGGGATTCTAGTTTCCTGGTGGAACCAGGGCCCTCAGCAGTGAAAGCACGGAGTCTTAACCACTGGACCGCCAGGGAATTCCCTGCGATTCTCTTTCTAATATGCAGGTTGTTCCTCTTGTTCCTCTTGTTCCTCTTGGTTCCTCTTGGTTCCTCTTGGTTTTGGCTTTTTTGGCCTTGTTCCTAAAGAAGTATGTTTATTATCTTGGTGGCCGTCCTGGGTTACATGGCCTGATTTCCATTTTTGTTATTCTTCCAGTTACTCTTAAAGTCTCTAGAGCTGTGGTTTTCAAGTGGAGGTAATCTTGCTTCCCAGGGGGCATATGGCAATGTCTGGAGACATTCTTGGTTGTCATAACACAGGGGGGTTGGGGTGTTCTACTGAACTGACATCTAGTAGGTAGCGGAGTCTAGAGATGCTGTTAAACATCCTACAATGCATAAGACAGCTCCCCTACAACAAAGGATTATCCGGCCCCAAATGTCAATAGTGTCAAGGTTGAGAAATTCTGCTCTAGAAACTTATAAATTTGTTCAAGCTTGATTTTTTTTTTAATTTGATCTTAAAAATAAAAGAAATATCACTCTGGGTCAGCCTTGTGGATCACTTAGCTTCAGAGAGAGGTACTAAAGGACACAAAATCTGAAAAATGTCGGAGATCAGCTAATCCAACTCGTTTGACAGAAGCCAGAGTCTGAGGCCTAGAAAGGAGAACTACTTATGGACCCTAGCTTTCACCCACAAATGGGTTGGCAAACTATGGCACCCAGGCCAAATCTTGCCCGCTGCCTGTGTTTGTTAAGTAAAGTTTTATTGGAACACAGTCACACCCATTCATTTACATATTGTATATGGTTACCTCACACTATAATAGGAGAGTTGAGTGGACAGTAAGCCTAAACTGGCTGGTAAGCCTAAAATACTTGCTTTCTGACCCTTCACAGAAAAAGTTTGCTAACGGCTGATATAGAAGGGCTCAGCTGTCTCTCTTGATGTCACATCCAGAGCTCAGAGATGTTCCCTAAGCATTTCTCGTTTCCCTTAATGTTCACTGATAGACCTTGCATGCATAGCGTTACTCTAACTTGTTGAACTAAAAACTTTTATATTTCCACGTGGCAGCACCTCTAGTGTTAACACCATTTTTACATCTCTTTCTTTATCTTTACCAGTTTTAAGGTTTCAAACTATGGTCCTTATAGGGAATAGACTGGCGGTTGCCAAGGGGGAGGTGGGTGGGAGAGCGTTGGATTGGGAGTTTGGGGTTGCATGGTATATATACCATGCAAACTGGTATATACAGAATTGATAAACAACAAGGTTCTACTGTATAGCACATGGAACTATATTCAATATCCTGTGATAAACCATAATGGAAAAGAATGTATATATATGTATAACTGAGTCACTTTGCTGTACAGCAGTAACACAACATTGTAATTCAACTATACTTCAGTAGAAAATGAAATTAAATTTAAAAAAGAATGGTCCTTCACTCAAGTATACTGGTATTTGATGAATTCATCAATTCTCTGTTGCTTACTTTACACGCATCATGATTTTATCATATCCCCCTCTTTGATAAAAGATTCTTAACCTTAGGTAACTCTACCTAAGGTATAAACTATAGGTAACTCTACCTTTTCACTGCTAAAACTACTGCTGACTAGTTTGACAGGGCTTAAGACACACATGAGTTACAGCCCTGGCTGACAGTTTCTTCATTTCTTAAGATGGTCCATCAGGGTCTTAGCTAGTCAATTCTTAAGTCTTTCAAATGTCTGATCGCCATCTAGTGGCAAAAGTAGGCAGTAACTGAGGGTTTATACTCAGTTGGGTTTATACCAAGCCTCTTTTTTTTTTCCTGTTGCGGAGCAGAGGCTCCGGACGCGCAGGCTCAGGGGCCGTGGCTCACGGGCCCAGCCGCTCAGCGGCATGTGGGATCTTCCTGGACCGGGGCACAAACCCGTGTCCCCTGCATCTGCAGGTGGACTCTCAACCACTGCGCCACCAGGGAAGCCCCCAAGCCTCTTTTGATCTTCTGCCACCAATATTAATACTCAATGTGACTCCATATAGCAGCTCCCTCACCCCACTCATCTTACTCTATAAATCAAAATTACAGTGTAACTGAGGTTAGGATCTACAAAAACCTCAGAGACCCAAAGAACATGTCAGTATGTAAGCGCTGACAGCAAGAGACCTTCAAGTCCCAAAGCCTTCACTATACAGCTGGATAGAGATGTACAGAGTAAGCAAAGGGCAAAGGCGGGGCTAGAACCCAGATTACTCTGCCAGTGCTCTCCCATGACACTATCCCGTGAGAAGACTTTGGATTATTATTCTGAATGCAGCCAATGCAAGGTTGAATTTATGTCCATAGAGTATCCTATTTTAAGTCTATTTTTTAAATCAACATCTTAAATTGTGAAAAAATCATTTTCTTGAAGTATTATCATTTCCCTTAAAAAATTTTGATCATGAAATCTTTCCTCAGGCAGCTGCTTTCATTAGCCAGTTCCCTACCCTACCTAAAATGGTTTTTGAGAACTGCAATAAGCCCTCCCACCTATGGGCACACCTAGCAGAAAAACTAAGATACAGAGTGAAATCAAAGTCAAGGGAACCCTATGTGATCCTTCATGCCACAGTGACCTTCCTTCTGGGGGGAAGAGCCATTGGGGTCCATCTGCGAGGTAGACTCTGCGGCTCTAACCTCTTGCTCAGAACCTGGCTCTGCAGATTTATTTTCTGACCTGGCCACTCACTTTTCTACTTCAGTGACCCCTTCTGGCATTTCTCCATTTGTCCACTTGTCTCAATACTTTCTCTGTCCACTGCCCTTCTGCTACTACTGGTCCCTCCAGCTTCCCTTTCTCACCAATGATGAGGATGACGAAAATGAAACAAACATTTCACATGAATCTTATTAAAAACAAACAAAACCAGGTTTGAATCTTGGATATTTTAGTCACTTCTGGACAAAGACCCAAAAGAGTACATTCTATGAACTGTTATTAATGTTTCCTATTCCCAAGGCTACTAGTTAAAAGGGGCTGCTTTGTTCCTAAGGTCTCAATAAATAAAATCTGTTTGCTTTTCACAGATGGACTGAGAGTTCTCCCAGTTTGAAGTTTTGCATGAAGAATCTAGCTTATTAAGTGCTAAGTTGGGGCTTCCCTGGTGGCGCAGTGGTTGAGAGTCCGCCTGCCGATGCAGGGTACACGGGTCCATGCCCCGGTCTGGGAAGATCCCACGTGCCGCGGAGCAGCTGGGCCCGTGAGCCATGGCCTCTGGGCCTGCGCGTCTGGAGCCTGT